CTTTCAAAAGAAAATTATGCCACTACCATTCTATCCCGGGCTCATATAGTGGATTGCAAACCCAATTCCACTCCTATTGACACTTCCCCAAAATGAGTGCAACAAGTGATAAACTACTACCTGATGGAACACATTATCGTCAATTGGCAGGAGCTTTACATTCTTCTTAATTTCGTGAAGACATGTATCCAACCTTGAAGTCCTACTAACCTCTTCTAACCAGTGGTTGAACGACATACCATGGGCATTAGGCGTCAAACAGGTTACCACAGTTGGTGTTGGTGCCGATGACAGCGGTGGTGGTAGCGGTAGCGGCAGTTTCTGATACCAATTCGTTTCAATCTTTAGCCTACCCAACTATTTTGGAATAGAAAGGCTTGTTGGTGTTCTTCTTGGAAGATTTAAAATAAATTGGACAAACAATTGACCCACATTGTTCTCTTTCTGAAGACCTCAAATTCTAGAAGACTGAACCTAACAAAAAGTGAATGAAGGTAGGATTCTATTGCCTACCTGGAATAGTTGTCATGATTGTTAAGAAAATCATATGATTCACAATTCAAAACCCTTTAGTAAATAGGGTTGGTGTAATATAGAACTAGATGTATTAAAAAAACATGACCTTCATTTCTAATTCTTTTTATACCCTTCAGATTCTCACTGCCATCAAAGAAGAATCACTCAACCCCTACTGAGGTGCCCAGCCAATTCTACTGACCAAAAATACCATATGCACATAGATATATTTCGATTTCCATGGACCAAGGTGTTGTATCGTTTCTATAAGAGATATCTTTCTTCGTGCATATCAAACATTTATTGCTAATCTGGGAAAAAAAATTCTACTGAATGGTCGGTGGAAGTTTTTCATTTTTAAGTCTTTACTTCCAGAATCATATGTTAAAAAATGAACTATCAGATGTCCTTTTCTAGCTACACTGTTCTTTTTGAATGTCTTACCATCTTTTATTGATTTGACTTTAATGTAATTGTAGCCAGAACTTAATACCAACTTCTCACCCACCAATCATTCTTCTTCTTCTAAGACCCCCCCCCCTAAGAAACTTAACCGTTAGACTTCCCCCATGCATAATTCAGCCTTTACCAAACTTTTTGAAGGGACACTGGCATCATTTCAAGATGGATTATTCCGTGAAAGAAATTTTGGGCCTATCAAAAGTGAAATTTGTGCTTGTGGAAATTATCGAGTTATTGGAGATCCCGCGGATCCCGCACCTAATGCGGGGGCTCCGCAGGCACCTACGCCTCCCTTTGACTACTCCTGAGATGTAGTGGAAACATTTCAATTACACCCCAATAGGTGACACCCTACCATCTTTTGACATTCTTATTTTAATAACATCTACTCATGTTACCAGACATGCAACTTAGCATTTGAGTTTCACTAGAGTAATCTACAACAAGAACAAAAATCAAAACAAAGAAAACTTCAAAACTTTCCATACCCATGTCAGCTCCATTTAGCCTTTTTAACTTGAAGGACAATGATCATATACTTGGCAACTGCCCATAGTGCACATCGTTTTATCTAAGCTGATTTATAAACTATGACATTCTGATGGATTACATTAACCTCTTGGATCTTACTGTATTACCCTCCCACCAGTGTTACACCTTTTAATAATCTTTAAACTACTATTCTAGTACTTGGGTGAAACTCACTCGATTCAGCCTTTATTTAGTTTATCCAAGGCCACTAATAGAAGTTGGGACAAAGACATTGATAATGAACACCAAATTAAACAAACTAACAAATAAACGAAGTTATGAACAAGTAAACAGCCTCTATTCAAGTGATAGGCCAACTCTCCATGACGCTCACTCAATCGACTTTACTGAGATATGAAAATATGCATGCAAATCAAATAGCCTCCTATTCTATTTATACAACTCCCTACGGAAATGCAAATACCAAAACTGTGCACTAACTTCGGTCTAACATTACTCCTCTACCACCGAGCCACCTAGCCCTGAAGGTGTTAACCTGGAAATGGCTGGTGTACGAGTCTGAATGGTTCCGATGTATTCAGTCAGCATCCACTGTTTTTCATTGCGGCCCTAACCTTCATCATGATTTGCTTTCTTTCCAATATTTCCTCATGTTATCCCCCATCAATTCAATAGTTATCAGCCAGAATGTCTCTAAGCCTCGTTAAAAATGCCCTCCACCGTCAATCAATCGTCTTCGTCTACCAATCTCGGCTTCTCCACTAATCAATCTCTAAAAAGTAAAAACTCGCCTTCGGTTTCAATATTTCGAGCCCATCACCTATCGTTCCAAACCTATACCTTCTATCGGCCCAAGAATAGCCTCATCAGTCCTATCAGTTTGGCTAAGGATTACCCCAAGTACTAGCCTTGCCATCAGTAAACCTGCCAAAATTAGGCATAACTGCATAACACTTCCATTAAGCCCACCAAATTTTGGACTAGTTAACCCACACATGCAATTCGATAACTTACCTCATTGAGACCAAGATCAAACCAGCAACTGCCCAACATTAAACCCACATATACAATTGGGCCCTATATGGACCTGCCATAAGTCCCACTATAAAAACCCTTCGCCACATTCCTGCCCTAGCTCTGCTGTCGACTCCATGAACAAGAATACCTGTCACACCCCCGTACCCCATGCTACCCCTTGCATTCATGGAGGGTTTTTATGTAGCCCTCCATGGTCCCATGCCACTACAAGATTGCTCCAGCATAGTGTAAACTTTTTATGGTCCTAAGATCTAAATGTTTGTTCTCTAAGATCCTTCATCATACAATCTAGATACAACTCTATAGTACCTTTAATAATTTGTTTTCAACGGCTAGAGGATAGCTATTGATGAACTTTGAAATACCCTTGATCATGCTTTCCAAACCTCAATGATCTTTGCAAAGCATAAGCGAGGGTATTTCAAAGATCATCAAGAGCTAACCTTTAGCAGTTATAGGTGAGGAATCCGGAAAACAAACTATTACAGGTACCGGAGAATTGTATCTAGATTGTACGATGAAGGATGTTAGAGAACAATATTTAGATGTCAAAGTCTACACAAGATTGTATGGTCCCATGCCACCAGTTTCTGTCCAACTAAACTTGCATTTCCCAGCATCTATTGCCTAATTTTCCACAACAACTGTCGTTGCCGGTACCCCAGCATCTCTCACCACCACCCTGGACCGCAAGGCTCTCCGTTGCATTTGATGAAGGCTTTTCTGTAGCCCTTTGTGGTCCCCTGCCATCATAAGATTGTTCTGGCATAGTGTAATTTTTTATACTCCTAAGATATAAATATTTGTTCTCTAAGATCCTTCATCATACAATATAGATACAACTCTACAGTATGTGTAATAGTTTGTTTCCAGACTCACTTTTAACGGCTAGAGGACAACTCTTGATGATCTCTGAAATACCCTCGATCATGCTTTCCAGCCTCAATAACCTTTGAAAAGCATGAGCGAGGGTATTTCAAAGATCATCAAGAACTATCCTCTAGCCGTTATAGGTGAGGAGTCCGGAAAACAAACAATTACAAGTACCAAGGAATTGTATCTAAATTGTATGACGAAGGATGTTAGGGATCGATATTCAAATGTCGAAGTCCACACAAGATTGTATGGTCCCATGCCACCGTTTTTCTGGATCCACCATACATTGCCCAACATCTATTTGCCTAATCTTCCACCACAACTGTCATCGTCGGTACCCCATCATCTCTATCCACCACCGCGGACCCCACAACACCCCATTGCATTCAAGGATTTTATGTTACCCATCATAGTCCCATGCCACCACAAGATTGTTCCAATATATTATAAATGTTTTATACTCCTAAGATCTGAACATTTGTTCTCTAAGATCCTTTATCATACAATCTAGAAAACAAACTATTGCAAGTACCGGAGAATTGTATCTAGATTCTATGATGGAGGAGGTTAGTGAACGATATTTAGATGTCAAAGTCTACACAAGATTGTATCGTCCCATGCCACCAGTTTTCTGGATCCACCTAAGCTTGCATTTCCCAGCATCTATTGCCTAATTTGCCACAAATGTCGTTGTAGGTACCCCATGCATCTCTCTCCCACCGCTCTGTCACGAGCCTGCCATAAGTCCCCCCCCCAATAAAAACCACTTGCCACATTTATGCCCCTCGCCCTACTATCGACTCCATGGGTCTGTGTCATACCCCAAGGACCCCACGACTACGCCTTGCATTCACGGGTGGTTTTTATGTAGCTCTCTGTAGTCAATGCCACCACAAGAATGTTCGAACAGGTAGTCTTAGTTCTATGTGAGTAGGACTGAAGTTGCTATTGTTGCAAGACTATAGGCCTCGTTATCGGTATATTAATAGCGGTTCTCCACCTAAATATCAAATATTATAGTCTTATTCCAAGGGTTATTGGAAAATCATGAGGGGACAACATGATGAGCATAATCATTTGATACCAAGACGAAATTCTGGTCCTCCTTATTAACCCTCCTTGTAGTGTAAAAACAATACTATGTCACATGACTTGTGACTTGGTCCACAAGCCGCCTTCATTCACCGTAGCAAGTTATTACATCAAAACCTTATTGACATAATGTACCTATGAAGATATAAAATACAGAAACATAGGTGACAACAATGAAAACCTATGTTGTAGTATAAAACAATGACGCCAGCTCAACCGGCAAACAAAGGCTAGGCATTGGGGATCCTCCTCATAGATCACCACACGAGTCTCCTCCGGGCCACTCGGATTTTTCTAGTTGTCATCTTCAGAGCCCCACGGGATTAGTAGAGATGTGCGCATGTTGGCCCAGACACCCACAGTTACCAAAAGAGAAAGAAAAAACTACGCTAATAAAATCAAATTAATTAGAAAGATATTTGGGTCAAGGACGCTATAGTCATGTCAAAGTTGTCTAGAAAGCATAAAGGATATTTGTTTCAACAACATATATGTAAATTTTTCAATATGCGATAACTTCTTACCCTGCTGCCTCTCTCTAACGATTCATCTTCGATAAACCGTACCTCAGGAGTCAATCGTAGTTTCATACGCTTGCCCAACTGGCTACGGACATATTTTGCTTTTGACTTCAGCCCAGAAATGGCTACCTCCTTTCCTCGTTCATCACCAAAAACAGATACATATACCTTAACCACCTATAAAAGAGAAGGGCGAGGAAGAGATAAGTGCCCCGACATAAATAACAAAATTACTAAAACCAACATCACATCGTAAATGCATCTCTTCATAATTAAGCAATTGTATATAGCATGAAGCTCTATTTTATTATTGAATATTGAAAGGTAGTAAATCCATCAACTAAATTAAAGTGTACGGACTACTCTCTCTGTCCCAAAATAAGTGTCCACATTTCTTTTTTAGCTTGTCCTAAAATAAGTGTCTACTTTCCCATTTACCCTTAATTATGATGGAGAAACTTTATTTCTATTATTAGGGGTTAAAATTGAAAGTTTGCAAAACTCGATACCTTCATCATTAACAGAAAATCCCTATATATAGGGTATGTACAAAGAAACCCTATCGGCTATAATTAATGATAAATATAAATCAAATCCGTAATTATCTCTAACTAATATAATCGTAATTATCTCTAACTAATATAATCGTAATTATCTCTAACTAATATAATCAACCGGCTAAGAAAAATGACATTCATTAAGCAAAAAGTGTAATGATTACACATTTATAAAACTGTGTGACATTTACATTGTAGACATTTACTTTGGGACGAAGGGAGTATTAACATATTGATAGTCTACGAGAATAAATTTAGATAAATTAAGTAAACACTCCCAGAGAATTCTATTACCACTACATAAAGATTAATCAAACAAATTTAAACATTTCTTCACATGTAACACATGGTCTTCAGTTGTCTTCCATAAAACCAACTAGGGAACACATATTTTCACTACACATGCCTTGTAAGATAGGAAGCACATATGTAGATAACAAGACGTTTCCCACCAATCAGGACCATTTAGAAGAAAACTAAACATATAAAAGAAGGAACATTAAACATCCTATCTGTCTAATTGCATATAGTTTGGAAGAGTGATTCATTCTACCCAAGTGTAACACTAAACACTTGAAATTTAGTATGTATCACAATTTTTAGAAGGGCCTACAAATTCGCCACTCCAAGATACTCTTCATTTTCGCCAGGTCCATGGCTACTCCTTGATCCAAAATATGTGACCCAAGTATTCCACTTGCATACTACCAAAGACATTTCCTCTTATTGACGACAAATTGGTGTCTTTGCAGTACCCCAACACCGTACTCAAGTGCTCGATATCTTCTAGCCAGCCTCTACTATAACGTAGAATGTGATAAAAAAAAACTAATACGAATCTCTTGAGGTAACCTGATTCATGGTGGACCGAAAATTTGGAGGTCTGTCAACCTGAAGGGCATCACCACGAACATGTAGTAACCCTCGTGCATTTGAAACACTGTTCTGGGCACATCGTTGTCCCTCACTCTAATCTGGTGGCATCCCGCCTAAAAATCCATCTTAGAAAAGTAGTTTGAGTCATTTAATTCGTCCAACAGTGCCTTGAAATAAGATATTTATCGGGCACTGATTAGTACCAATTTTATACAACTTTTACATCAAATCTACCCTAAAGTTAGTACCGATTGGAGTTAAAATACCCATATTAAATTGAGTTGATATTTAGTCGTTTGGAACAATTTAATATGAGAAAATAAAACGAAAAGAAACAAAATCCTTTATTTTGATTTGCATCTTAGTTAGCAGCCATATAAGAGAAAAAGAAAGACAATTTAATTATTTTTTTTTGTTGATCTCATCATGTGCAGCCACCAATAGGTCAAGCAAAGCATAGAAAACAAAAGATTGTGTCTTCCAGGCCCATTTGCAGCTGACGTAGAAAGAAAAAAAAAAGTGAGAAAAGAATTGAGGCCAAGAACAACAGCCCAGCATGATATAATCTGATAATTGCAGCCCAGAAAAGGACCGACTGAGAAGAAAAAAGAACCCCGTCCATCGCTCATCCAGATCTTCACGGCCTTCCCATCCATTGCGACTTCCAGTGAGTAAAACTCGCTCCCGTACCCGCGTTAGCCTCTGTTTCTCTTCTTCAAAAATGCGTCCGGCGAGTTTTCTAGCAGGTTTAGCCTCACCCAAGTCGCGGGCGTCAAAAATCAAGTGGCCATGTCTGTTCGAACGGTTTCATGAGAGGAGGTATAAAAATCAGTTCTAAAACCGTCGATTAGGGAAGAGGAACCAATTTTCTGAATCGATTGATTGGAAGTGGAAGGAGAGAGCATCCAAAGCCGATTTTCAGAATCAGGGAGATTGGAGTCGATTTTGGCGAATGTTACTAGGTTCTTCGTCATTTACTGATTTCTACCATTTGTAAGTTCAATTTATGTTTCAAAATATGATTATGAGTAGCTAAGTTTCTATTTCTAGTGATGGGATTATAGCTAATTTGCTTTGAATCTTGTTGAGACTTGGTTTATGTTCGAATTTCAATTGAATTTTATTTACGCACTCCTTGGTCAAAAGTGTTCTTCATTTTTGGGTTTTTGGTTTTTAGAAGGATCTCTTGAATCCTATAACCTAAATATGAATTGCTAGTTGTGATTAGGAACCCGTAATTGTTCTTAATTTCAATTTGGTAGCAAGTAATGCATCAATAAACCACCAAATCAATTGATTTGCATTATAGGATTGTGTAATCTAGCTTAAATGTTCGGGCTTCCATTCATTAGTTAGGATTGGTGCTTGTTTATTGCTTAATAGGTTGAATTCTACGTCCGTGATTAGAATCAACCTAATCAATTAGGAACTAATCCACCGAGCTCCTCATGCTAGTTTAATCATAAGGACAAGCAGAGTGTTCGGCACGTGTCGACACTCACGGCCGGTCTAAAATCAATTGAGAAAATGTTTTTATACAAGTCAATGATACACGATTTGATAAAGAACTAGTTATACTCATCATTAGGAATACGTCTTAGACTCACGTGAACTAGTTATACTCATCAAAGTATACCCCCCTTTTATATATATTGTTTTTGATGAATTTGCACGTGATTACGTCTTAGGCTGACGGTTAACACCGAGTCCCTGAGAAGACGACCCTACTTACCACTATCACAAGTTATTGTGTTTTAGAGGTAATAGGCATCAATTCTAAACTTTATTATTTGCCGGACTCGACACCCGTCAGATTCTTTCAGCTTCCTATAATCAACACAAATTCGCCATGACCCATCCTTAACGAGAATTTCAAACTTGAAAAAGTGCTTGAACTATGTCTGATGAGCCCATGTTGTACCATTTCCTGAACCTACTTCTTTATTCATATTTCTGACGATAAGGGTAATGGTAAAGGCACACACTTACGAGTCTAACATCCTTATAGAGTTCTATGGCAAGCGCTACATCTCTATTAAAATGTAGTCCAGACACCTCTTTAAAAACCTCAGCAAACTCGCTAAATCCATTGTGATTCCCTTTCATGTTAATTGTTCAATAAATTGAGTTCCATCAATCGTTGTTTCAATACGATTCCTTGTAATATGTTTCTCTTGCCTTGTTGTCTGGCCGGTACTTCATTATCTTGCAATCCGATTCTTTCACTATCCGCCCAATTGAAGCTGGTCAACTTTTTTCCCAATCGAAAGTCCCTTTACCGAACTTTTGTAAACATTTCACCCCCTAAATCATATCAAGGTTCCCCAATTCCAGTAAATAAGTGTCAAATAGAGTGGTGAATTTGCCTAAATAGAGTTCCCTCATCACATTTTCCAGCCGTCGTCACCCGGTAACCATCCCTAACTGAACCCCCACGTACTTAACATCTTCCGTCTTAAGTTCCAATGCTATTGCTACTTGTGGAGATAGAAAAGTATGACTGGCACCATTGTCAACCAAAACTTAACCGGAATCCCTTGTACCGTTCCTTCAAGTCGAAGGTGGGTCTCAAGATGTTACATTCCTCGTCCCACGCGAATAACCCTATCGCACTACATTCTAATGTGATTTCCTCTTATCCCTCTGTCAATTCTACCGCGAAAACTTTTGCATCTTCATCTATGGTTTCAACATCCCCCTACATTACTAACCGTAAATATTTCATCCGCTTAAACATTGCCATTAACTCCTTATGTTTCAGTTTCATTGAATGTACTCCAACTTCTTGACTGACATCTTATACTCGGTTAATACATCATCCGGAATGATAGGTGGTGGTTGTTGTTAAAGCCTATCCAATATTCTGGCCAAATCATTCAGCATCGTCACCATGAAGTGGCCCAATGTTCACTGAAAAGGTTCTCCGATAGCATGTTTACCCTACCCTCATCCACTCTATCACTTATTGATGTTAAAGGTGAACACCGTAAGATATCATGATTTTTCTCTAATACCATGTACCAACCATCATTGGTATGAAAAATCCTATTCCGTTTAACCAACTTGACTTGATTCAAACTTAGTTGGAATCAACTTTTTTCGGTTGGTACATTTGATAATGGTTTTGTGCCAACCTATGATGTTACAGTAGTCAAAATACAAAATAGCGGTTCATATAATAATTATTAGAATTATATATATGTATATAAAAAATATATATGTATGCATACGGTAAGACTGTCAAAGAAGAAGACGGAGGAGGCAATCGACTGTGGACTGTTGAGGAGGAGGTTGGGCGTATCGAGGTCGAAACGTAGAGCAAGGAGTGAGGACGATGATGTTGAAAGAAAATTGAAAACCTAATAAAGTCTAATCTAATTCGTCGACCGTTAAAGAATGGATTAAATGATTTAAAGTTTTGATGCGTATGGAAACTTAACACACACAATTGAAAACCTCCAGATCTCTACTGGTCGAACCACCAAGAACACAATCGGGATAACGAGACCAATTGACTTTGTTTACTGGACGCACCACCCACAAAGACAATCTCTCAAACTTGCAAATGAACCCCCGCTCACAAGAACAAGTTCAAACCGGACTAAGTAGTATTGTTTTCTAAAAAAAATGTATGAATATACTCAATCATCTGATTTTATTCCATAGAAGCACATGAGTTTAAATAGGATGAATAAAACCTCGAAAAAAGGAAACTATACATGAGAGAGGACTCTAATTCCCACATGCTTATCTACTTTATGCTTATCTTAAACTTGGAAAAGAATACTACTAAATTACTAATCTAACCAATAAACCTAAGCCCAAACCTGGTAGAAACAACTTCAAGTGAAGCCCAAAAACCCAGTGAGCAAAAAAAATCTATGAAAGCAATTAATTGGATATGAACACTTGATCTTCAAGTGAACTGGTTTCACTGCGAAATCATGCAGAAATCTCCAACTCTTGAATTCAGCTCATATTGTCAATTTAAAGCTGATGTTCTTTTAATAAATATTGAGCAGATTCTCGAAGTTCTCTTTGTTTAATTCACACAGTTTTTAAACTATTAAATAAAACAAGACCAAATATAAAATAACGGCCCAAGTCAAAATAAAAGCCCAAACAAGACCAAAATGTAAGCATCAGATTCAAAAAGACCCCAACTGCAAATATCGGTGAAATAGTGGCAAATTGCACTGCTGTTCTCGGAACCACAATTTACCACTGATATTTTACCACCTTAATTTTGTGTAGGACCAACAACCGCTATTGCACTGATATTAACAGCATAGGTACCAACATTGCAAAAGGAAAAAACGACAAATAGAAAAGATTGAAACGATATGTCTTCGGCTATAAATTACTGATAGAAGCTTTGTTTGCCTATGAATCTTAACATACAAGTAACACGAATCAAATAGCAGGAAATTTATTTTTTAGCCTATGAATCATAATATACAAACACCATGAACCAAACCAGTTATGGGAACTCTGTTCAGTTCCTAGTACCCATCAAGCCAACATATGATATTTGGGTGAAAATTGAAATCATGTGTGTACAGCCATAAGTATAAGAAACACAAATGAACACTATTGCATATTTAAGTTGTTGCCAAGCCTAATTATATATAAGATGTTGGGGTAAGAATCAACGGAGAGTGGAGAGTGTAACTGGGTAAGAAAAAGAATTGATATTCGATTTAGGTTAGTTGATTAGATAATTTAGATTAAGTATTCATTAATGACTAAGAAGTATAATTAAAACATTTAAAAAATTAATTATTAATTATGAAACAAAGTCGGTACGGTACGTATGCATGTTGGTTGGTTTGGTTCGGTTCGAAAATGACAGTCCTGAATGATGTTTTTGGTGGCATCAACAACTTCACTCACCTGTTCCTCCGGTGAATCTGGCATATCGGACCAATTGATAGAAGTAGTGAATGGAACTCCAAAAACCAGGACGATTTTGATTAAGGAAAGATAATGATAAGTGAACCAATGCTCTACAATTGAAATGGATACTAGAGTCGATGACTCCTACTCAAAGAAACATCATCCCAACAGAATTCCATTCTGTATTATTATGTTTGCCTCCCACTGAACCTCACCCCTCTCCTTATAACCAACTCTAAAAGATTCTGCTGGCTCACTCTTTTTCCAACGACTGGCCTTTCTCTCTCCTGGTATACACTTTCCATATAATGGGCCTCCTTGGTGATGTATCAACGATTGGTTCATTCACAGGCCCAAGGGCCAAGGTCCTATCAATATGTTAAGACCATTAACCATTTGCAGGTGGTACTTCTTGTAGAGTATACTATTGACATGGTCCTCTTCTCTCCCCTCATGCCCAATCAGCCCCACAAAACTTAAGAAGCACAAATTGGCCTGATCTCAAGACTGAGCAGCAAAAGTAAGACTCCTTTTTCTCTTGGCCAACAGAAAGAATAGTTCAGAAAAACTTAAACTACAATTAGATTAAGAGTAAGTTAATAAAAACAACAATACAGATGTGCCAGACAAAAAACAGTTGATAAAACATAAAGTTGTCATTTGATAATAGCAATGAAGCTTATAGCATGTATATGTGCATCACAAACCTAGCCATTTGCCAATGAGATACCAACAATAACAATTAGTTTAAGTACTTGCACAGAAATTGGAGAAAAATATAAATTCCAAGATAAGATGCCATAAATTCTACTGTTGAGGTCAATCCTTCCAAATTTATGTTTAATTTTGAAATTCGTTCAGGTGTAAGAAAACCTCACTTTTTAGTACGTCTCGTAAGGTTTAACATAGTCGTCACATTCTTTGTTCTAATATATCAATCATGAAGTTAAAATTGGGCAATTATACCTGGAAGCACTCGTTGGAAATGATGTTACCTGTAAATCGGATGATACTTCAACATCACTAATGGTGGTAAGAGAGGACAGATACCGGTCAGCACCAAGGGCCGCTTCGGGAAGGATAGCGTACTGTAAAACCTGGTCCGTCAGCAACATATCAGAAAGCTCTCTCTGTATCTGTTTCGCCACCATTTTCACCCTCCTCTCCTTAGCCATACAAATGACCACCCTATTTCTAGCAGCATTAGTACTCCGATATGGCGAGAACATCAACGCATAACCGAATTTCGCCGCTGGGAACCGAATCGAACTCGGTAACGACGGTAGAAAAGTCGACAAAGAGCAGCATATTGCGGTGGTTGTCGGCGGAGAACGGTGGTGATTGGTGGTGAAGATAGACTGCGGCATCACAGGAATTCTTCCCGTCACTTCTGGGCAAAAGAGGTTGGAAGGAAGAGGCTTTCTTTACAATAAGAATATCCATTTGGCGGAAATTTTATGGGTATTATTGCACATTAGTCCTCCAAGATTGATGAAAATTGCACTTTTGTGCTTTTTTCAATTATAATGTCGAAATTAGGGTTACAAACGAGCCAGGTTGAATTCGAGCTCGACTAGTCTACCTGACGTTTTTAGGCTATGCTAAAAAAATCGTTGGGGCGAGTGTTTGATGATAACAAATTGAATGAAATATTGTGTGCAATAAATATACCAAGAAATATAGTCTTCCAATATTGCTGAAAGTTACACTTTTGTGTTTTCCTGATATTGTCGAACTTAGGGTTACAAATGGGCCAAGTTGAACTCAAATTCGATTTGAGGGTGTTATGCTAACTGCTAAGGCATTATTTGGTAAAAATAAGCCAACTTGTTTTCTGGATATACGTTTAAATAGCGTGATTGACTCAATCACCATAATATTATTCCTGTCACAATACATTCCTAATTATTGCCACAATATTTTCCTTATATATTTCAACACCCCCCCTCCCCAGTTGGAAAGAGAAGTATCAAACTGTTGTTTTCCAAGGGCCTTAGTGAAGATGTCGGCCAATTGTGTTGTCGTTGGCACATGATAAGGAGCAATAAGACCGTCGGTGATGGCATCACGAACAAAATGGCAGTCAACCTCAATATGTTTTGTTCTCTCATGGAAAACTAGATTCTTGGCTAGATGGAGAGCCGACTGACTGCCACAAAATACTTTAACAACTTGTGGATGATGCACGCCCAAACTCAACAACATTCCTTTCAACCATTTCAACTCACATGTGAGAGATGCCATGGAGCGATATTCGCCTTCAGTTTGATGAACGGGAGACGGTTTGTTGTTTCTTTGTTTTCCATGAAATGGGAGAATGACCAAGAAACACGAGCCACCTGGTAAGGGATCGATGGGTAAAAGGACAAGTCGCCCAAACCAAGTCATACCACCCTTGTAGAGTCAAGTTGCTATTTGCACGCAAAAGAATGCCCTGACTAAGTGTCCCTTTTAAATATCGAACAACCCTTAAGGCAGTCTCCTAATGTTTAACTTGAGGTGCCTGCATAAATTGAGAAAAATATGCACAGAATATGCAAAATATGGTCATATGACAGCCAAATAAATGAGACGTCCTACAAGAAGTCGATACTTCTCTGGATCCTTCAACAACTCGCTTGTAGCAAGACTGAGTTTGTGATTTTGTTGGATAGGAAAGCTTGAAGGCTTTGCACCCAAAAAAGCTTGTTTCAGATATAATGTCCAAAGCATGTTTTCTTTGAAATAAGAACAATCCTGTGGAGCTACGTGCGACCTCGATGCCAAAAAAAATACTTTAATGTACCAAGATCTTTCATTTTGAAGCAATCACTCAGATAAGTTTAAAAGTCCCCAAGGTAGTGGAATCATTCCCAACCATGATGAGATCGTCAACGTACACAAGCACATTTATCTGAACAATTCCTTAGGTGAAAGTAAAAGGAGAATAATCGGAGTAAGACTACAAGAAACCATACCCTTTCAAAGCCACAACAAGCTTAGCAAACCAACACCTAGGAGCTTGTTTCAGTCCATACAGAGACTTAAGCAAGCGGCACACTATCTTTGGATTTGGTGCCTCGAATCCAGAAGGAAGTTTCATGTACACCTCTTCCTCCAGATCTCCATATAGAAGGTGTTGTGAACATCCATTTGATGAAGTTCCCAGTTTTTTGATGCCGCTACAGCCAGAAAAAATGAACCGTGACCATTTTGGCGACCAGAGCAAAGGTTTCGATGTAATCGATGCCCTCTGTCTGATGATTGCCAAGGACGACCAATCTCAATTTTAGTCTCTCGAGTGTGCCATCTGAGTTAAACTTTGTTTTATAAACCCACTGACTACCGAGAACCTGTTTTCCAGGAGGCAGTATCTCCATGGTCCAAGTACCATTATTCTCCAAAGCTCGTATCTCTTATTGCATGAATTTTTCCAACCAACGTCTTTCATAGCCTCCCGAAATAATTTCGGCTCCTTACTTGATGTAATAGCTATGAGAAATTCTCGATATTTCACAGAAAAACTATCACAATTTATATAGTGTGTTATAGGGTAAGGAGTACCTAAGGAATGTTGTGGAGTAGGAATGATGGAGGATCGACTCTCAGTGGTGATCGTGTGAGTAACATAATCTCATAATACAACAGACAGATTTTTCTTGTGCATACCTCTGCCCATATCATTTAGTTCACTGTTACTGGCTAGGGGTTGTTCAATTGAAGCAGATGACCCACCAGAAAGTTGATCCACATATGTATGCATCTCAGTAGACTCATTGGCTTGGGTTGTTGTAGTAGCCTGTTCGGTCGGCTCACTCAGCAGTGCCGATGGAGTAGGCTGAGTGATATATCCAACAATATTTTCCTCTATAAAGTCATCAAAATCCAAATCAATTTCATTACTTATCTCCACAATATTCCACGACACTATATTCACCATTTATGAGGCACGGAATGGATACACATCCTCAAAAAATTTCACATCTCGTGAAACAAAGAACTCTTTAGTATCAAGATCAAACAACTGCCAACCCTTTTTGCCGAAAGGATATCCCATGAACAAGCATTTTCTACTTCAACTAGCAAATTTATCAACTTTTGCCTTTTGATTATGTGCATGTTGGCGAATGGTTGGATCGTCCATGAGCTATATGTCGCGGGCCGACCCAAAGGTGCCTTGGAGTGCAATCCAAGGAAACTTTCCATAAATTAGGTTTCCTTGGATTGCACTCCAAGGCACCTTTGGGTCGGCCCGCGGCATATAGCCCATGGACGATCCAACCATTCACCAACAATCACCCCCTAAATGGTTGAAGCGGCAATTCACACACACCAAGCAACGTTCTCATTTCACCGAACCTGACTCGCGCTAAGGCTTTCGTTAGGGGATCCACTACTTGACTATTTCCCGCCACGTGTTCGACTTCAACTTGCTCGTTTTCCACACGCTCTCGAATGTAGTGGAAATGAGTGTGAATGTGTTTGCTCCTTCCGTGAAACACCGGATTTTTAGATAATGCAATCGTCGACATGTTGTCTATACGAATCAACACCTTTTGCTTCTTTAATTCGGTTACCTCCGCGAGTAACTCCCTTAGCCAAACTGCTTGACATGCTGCCGATGTAGCTGCCATGAATTCGGCTTCACATGAAGATAAGGCCACGGTATCTTGCTCTTGTGAACACCATGAGATACTGTAGTGCTCCGACCATCATCTGCGTCTACATTATGACTGCTGTCACTATAACCCAGAAGTTTCAACTCATCGCATCTCTCGTATCTAATTCCAAGCGAAATTGTACCGCGAAGGTATCGAAGGATTTGCTTGACCGCGCGCGCATGAGATTCTCTCGGACTTTGCATATAACGACTAACTACCCCAACTGAGTAAGCTAAGTCCGGACGAGTGTGAAGGAGGTAGCGTAAGCACCCTACTACCCTCCGATAATGAGTGGCTTCAACTTCTGGTTCATCCTTGGCTTTCGATAATTTTAGTCCCGGTTCCATTGGACATTGTGTAGCATTACATTCTTCCATGCCCGCCTCTTTCAAGATTTTCATAGCATAGTTCGCTTGTTTGATTATTACACAATCATTTTCTTGAGAAACTTCAATGCCCAAGTAATAAGTCAACAAGCCAAGGTCCGATATTTCAAAATTTGAAGACATCATGCTTTTGAATTGGCTTGTTATTTCATGACACGTTCCCGTAACGAATAAATCATCCACGTACATAGCCACAATGATGTATTCACCTCTCGAAACCTTTTTATATACTGCCGATTCGTGCAAGCATCGTTTAAAGTCCTTTCCTTGTAAGATGACATCAAGTTTTATGTTCCATGCCCTTGGAGCTTGTCGTAAGCCATACAAGGCTTTTGCTAACTTGTAAACTTTTCCTTGCTCTCCCACCTTTTCGAAACCCTCGAGTTGACTCACGTACACTTCTTCTTTCAATTCACCGTGTAAGAAGGTTGTCTTCACATTTAAGTGGTAAATCTTCCATCCTTTCCCGGCCACAAGAGCAATCAATAATCATATTGTCTCGAGTCGTGCTATTGGCGCGAAGACTTCATCAAAATCAATGCCGTATTCTTGTACATAGCCTTTTGCTACGAGCCGCGCTTTGTATCGCGAGATTGATCCGTCCGCATTTCTTTTGATTTTAAATAACCACTTTAGTCCGATTGGTTTGGCATGCTTCGGTAGAGGCACTAGCTTCCAAGTTCTATTTTTTTCGACTGACTCGATCTCGCTTGTCATCGCCTTAAGCCATTCGGGTTTCATAATGGCTTCTTTAAAGTTTCTTGGCTCCTCGTCACAGGTTAACATCAATTCATACATGTTTAGTTCGTAGTCGTGTAAACAGATAGGCAAAACCGAGACACGATTGGAACGTCGTACCGGGTTATGTTCAAACTCGCTATGCTCGTCGGACTCGTGATCGCTGTTCGACTCTGATTCTGTTGAGGTTGGGGCTTTCACTGCGGGGCTCGTTGCTGACTGTGGGCTCGTTGCAGGTGGGCTTGCTATGAGGGGTTGCTGTGGCGTGGCAGTGGGTTGTGCATCTTCGGTTGCTGTTGGGTTTGGAGGAACAGGCCCATTTGTCGCAAGCCATGGTATTACAAATGTGCCAGATTCACTTTTCTTGCTGCTATTGTCGTCACGCAATTCCTTTTCTTCTTTATCCCAATTCCATGCCATTTTTTCATTATAAGAAACATTGCAACTTATAATGATTTTATTTTCTTTCGGGTTAAATAAGCGGACACCACCCGAACCCGGTTCCTTCCCAAAATAAACCAATGATCTCGATCTATCGTCTAGCTTCTTTAGATGTTTTGAAACAATCCTTTCGTACGCGACACATCCGAACACCTTCAATCCTTCAAGATTCGGTTTTTGACCATAGAATTTTTCGTAAGGTGTGACTCCT